CCACAGAGTGCCCAGGCTGCTCCACCAACTGCACCTGAAAGCCAATGCTCACAGGCTTTCTTTCCTGGGGATAAGGGCTGTTTTTCCCTTTTTTCAGCCCTGCGCTTCAAGTGCCTGTCTCACCTGCCCAAAATGGAAGAGAATTGAAGATTCGTCCAGACAAAAGGTGCCACACAAGAAAGCTCTTCCTGCCCACAGAGTGCCCAGGCTGCTCCACCAACTGCACCTGAAAGCCAAAGCTCACAGGCTTTCTTTCCTAGGGATAAGGGCTGTTTTTCCCTTTTTTCAGCCCTGCGCTTCAAGTGCCTGTCCTTCTTCCCCAAAATGGAAGAGAAATGAAGATTCCGCCCAGACAAAAGGTGCCACACAAGAAAGCTCTTGCTGCCCACACAGTGCCCAGGCTGACTTACCAACTGTACTAGAAAACCAAAGCTCACAGGCTTTCTTTCCTGGGGATAAGTGCTGCTGTTCCCTTTTTCAGCCGTGCACTTCAAGTGCCGGTCCCACCTCACAAAATGGAAGAAAAATGAAGATTCCTCCCAGTCAAAAGGTGCCACTAAAGAAAGCTCTTGCTGCCCACAGAGTGCCCAGGCTGTCCACCAACTGCACCTGAAAGCCAAAGCTCACAGGCTTTCTTTCCTGGGGATAAGGGCTATTTTTCCCAGTTTTTCTGCCCTGCGCTTCAAGTGCCTGTCTCACCTGCCCAAAATGGAAGAGAAATGAAGATTCCGCCCAGACAAAAGGTGCCAGACAAGAAAGCTCTTCCTGCCCACAGAGTGCCCAGTCTGCTCCACCAACTGCACCTGAAAGCCAAAGCTCACAGACTTTCTTTCCTGGGGATAAGGCTGCTTTTCCCTTTTTTTGCAGCCCTGCGCTTCAAGTACCGATCCCACCTCCCCATAATGGAAGAGAAATGAAGATTCCTCCAGACAAAAGGTGCCACACAATAAAGCTCTTACTGCCCACAGAGTGCCCAGGGTGCCCCAACAACTGTACTAGAAAGTCAAAGCTCACAGGTTTTCTTGCCTGGGTATAAGGGCTATTTTTCCCTTTTTTCAGCCCTGAGCTTCAGGTGTCTGTCTCAGCTTCTCAAAATGGAAGAGAAATGAGGATTCCTCCCAGACAAAAGGTGCCACACAAAAAAGCTCTTGCTGCCCACACAGAGTACCCAGGCTGACTTACCAACTGTACTAGAAAGCCAAAGCTCACAGGCTTTCTTTCCTGGGGGATGAGGCTGCTTTTCCCCTTTTCAGCCCTGTGCTTCAAGTACCAGTCCCACCTCCCCAAAATGGAAGAGAAATGAAGATTCCTCCAGACAAAAGGTGCCACACAAGAAAGCTCTTCCTGCCCACAGAGTGCCCAGGCTGCCCCAACAACTGCACCTGAAAGCCAAAGCTCAGAGGCTTTCTGTTGTGGGTGAAAGGGCTGCTGTTCACTTTTTTCAGCCCTGCGCTTCAAGTGCCTGTCTCACTTCTCCAAAATGGAAAAGAAATGAAGATTCCTCCAGACAAAAGGTGCTACCACAGAAAACTCTTGTTGGATGTGGAATGCCCAGGCTGGCTGGCGGATTTTACCGGAAAGCCAAAGCTTCCAGGATTTCTATGTGGGAAATAAGGGCTGATTTTGCCTTTTTTCAGCCCTGTGATTAAACTGCCGGCTCACTGCTGAAATTCCATAGGAATGAAGATTTCTCTCAGTTAAAAGGTGCCTGGACAGAAAAGTCTTGCTGCCCACAGAGTGCCCAGACTGGCTCACCAACTGCACCAAAAAGCCAAGGATTCCAGGCTTTTTGTGCTCCGAGTAAGGACTGTTGTTTGCTATTTGCAGTTCTGTGCTCAAACTGACAGCCCAACTTACAAAATTGCAAACAGACAAAGATTCCTCCCAGACCAAGGTGCCAGGATAGAAAGCTGTTGCTGCCCACCTAGTGCTCAGGCTGGCCCACAACTTGCACCTCAAAGCTAAAGGTTCCATGCTTTCTTTGCTGAGGATAAAGGCTGTTGTTTGCTTTTTTCAGCCCTGTGCTGCATCTGCCATCCCAACTGCCAAAATTGCATAAGGTCGAAGATTACTCCCAAGAACAACGGTGCCCTCCCAGAAAGCTCTTGTGGTCCATGTAGTGCTGAGAGTTGTGCACCAACTGCACACCAGAGATGGAGGGTCAGGGCTTTCTTTTCCTGAGTGGAAGGGCAATCATTAGGGTTATAGTTAGGGTTAGGGTTAGGTTTAGGGTTAGAGTTTTGAATTCGGTTAAGTTTAGGGTTAGGTTTAGNAGTCCAAGGCCTCAATCGCCTGCTCTTGACACAGAGAAGAAAACAGCTTGCAGCAGACCTTGGGAAATGAGCACTGGCGGCCAGCAAGTGTAGATCAGAGCCAGTGCAAGGACACGTGTCTCTCCAGTGAGCAGAATGGGAGACCAGGTGAGAAACAGCTTGCTGCAATTGCTTCACCCAGCCAAAGCAGCAAATCTGCCTGCAGATCAGAGAGGGGATCTGGGATGCCACCGGAAGCAGATCAAGGCCGCCCCTGAAGCAGCAAGTTAGGAGCTGTCAGCCACAGCAACAGCCTTTTGGGTCAAACAGCTGACTGCTCTTGCACAGCAGCTTCTGTTCTCGCATGACGCTGGTTGTGGCTTTCCTATTGCTTTGTAGAGAAGAAAGGTCCATCCTCCCAGAACATGCTCTACTCGGGCAAAGAGGGGATGGCAGAAAGCAAAAAAGTCATCAGCTTGTTTTAGGATAAAACCAAAAAGTGTCATGAAAAAGCGAATTGCTCGTCAGTGTTTTGAAAGGTAACTACTCCCTATGGGTGTGACTTAGAAAAGAGTAAGAAAGAGCAAAAGGTAAGAAAGAAGAGAAGGTAAGAGAAGCCAAAAGGAGAGACGACAACTTCAGGGAAAGCTTGTTCAGCTTGTTGGGAGAAGAACTCCAATCAGCTTTCTCCTGACTTTCAAAGCAGCAGGCGCCCGGCCCTCTCCTCTGTGTTCCTCCTCACCCTCTCTCCAGCACGCTGCCTCCCATCTGAGGACAACGACGACGTCTGCGCGCAGCAGGCAACGGGGGCTTGCCCAGCGGCTTCAGAGCAGGCAGATGGCCCAACAGCCTGCCGCCCCTTCCACTCAGCCCCCTCCGGCACCGCCGGCTGGGATCCCCCCACTCACAGGCCCAGCCCCGCATGGCCGCACTGCCCCAGCCCGAAGAAGGACTTCCCCCTCTCGTCCACACATCCCTCCCGCCCCAGGCAGCGCCCTTCTGCTTCGCCCCACCCAACGCACGCCGGCCCCGGCAACTAAAAGGCTTGGGTCTTCAGGAGGCTTTCTTGCCCCCAAATCAAGGACTACAGCCTGACGAAAAGAGCCACCAGCGCTGCTTGTGGATCGAACCAGTAGTTTTATTTCAAGAAAGGCATCTTGATATTCTGTTGTCCTTTAGCAGCGGCCCAGCCCCGCAAGACACGTCTTCCAAGAACTCCTCCTTTGAAAATGGAGGGCAGCAACACGCGAACATCGGGAGATCCTGAAAAACTAACTTCTGCTTCCAAGAAGGGAAGCCCCACTCTGTAGCACTAAATCTGATGAGAAACTTGTTTAAACATGTCTTAAAATGGCCTTTTGTGGTCTCTTTGCAAACACGTGTTTCTTCTTCCCAACACCCCCCA